TTTTTTTTTGTTTTTTTCTTTGTCCATTCACACTGAATAAGAGATACAACTAGTTCTTTCCTTCTATCATTTCAACAGTATCTTCATTGTCGCCTCGAAGTCGTTTGTTCTCGCCACGTGTCGCTCACTGTCGCTCAGTGTCGTCTAATATCGTCTATGTCACTCTATTTATTGTCGTCTCATCTATCGTCGACTGTCGCTCATTAATGCTCACCACCTACAGGAGATTTTTGCAATTTTGCCTTTTTATCTGGCCATTGTATTTGTTCTTGCTACCTTATATCTGTCCTCAAAGGCCGTTTTGCATTCATAAATAGAATATGCGAATGAACATCTTACCTTACAAGCGGCTGCTGAATGAAATGTATTCCACACTTTGGAGGTAATGAAAACATTTTCTCTCTGAATATGGCAAAATATTATCAAAGCAGCTGTCAGAATATTATTTACCTGGAAAAAAGCTATTTTACCTTATAATCAGATGAAAACAAATGCTTCAAAGTTTCGCCGATCTCTGCTTGATTCCCGTAAATCCAAGCGCAATCGATGTGTCTATAACCGGCTTTGAGTGCCGTTTCTACAGCTTTGCCTACCTAAACTATTTGCATTGAAAATCCCAAGTTTGTTCTATTCACCTGTGCAATTGCACAATCATTTGAATTTCCAGATTTTGCTGTGGAGCGCACCAAGCAACCATAAACGGCAGGTCTCGGTAATTAGAGTTGCTTAGTGCAAATTCATTTGGTACTAATGAGATGTTTAGAAATGAAGATCGTTGAGGGTCCAATGGTGACGAATAGGTGAGTGTCATGTTTTTTTTTTCTTCAGACAAATTTTAAAAACACAGTGATAGGGAACTGTTCAAGGCAGAGCTAGCCGGTGGTTAGTTCTCTATGTTTCCTGAATCTCATTTCGGTGAGGTCACGGGTTCGATTCCTCTCTGGGACATAATTCTTGCCTGCGACTCCAGCATCAGGCTTACCCCCCGGGGTGCATGGCAAGCCGGCTGAGAAACACCCCGTCGCATGTAAATGAGTTAATGTCTAATAAAGTATATCGAGTAAAAGCTAGGGCGTCCCCCGGAAGCGACGC